CGACCTCCATATAACCATAAAAAATTTATTTTTTCGAAAATTTATTTTTTCATTATATAGCCCTTTTAAAACCGCATAACTTTTGCCCGAAACATTTTTCTCTAAAATGTTCTATTTCCGAAATAAAGGGGCTGTACGGGTGGTCTGAATCACCCTGTATATTCTTGCGTTTAGAATAAATTTTCCCTCCATCTTACAACGCGCGAAGTTGGCACCACGATATTCGACAAAAGACTGTCATTTTAGTCAAAATTTTAAAATTATTAAGGCTCGAAGCGCTACGACCGACGAATAAAAAGTTCTCGCGATTTTTCGGTTCGAAGGATTGGCATTTTGTATCAATTGCAGAATCTTGTAAAATTGTGTTACTAAAATCGAATACGAATCAGATTAAATAGATATACACGTTCGATTTTCACACGGGAGCAAAATAAAACAAAATTTGTGTTTGATTATTAGAAATTCACACGGATTTGTATTTCAAACACTGTCTAATTACACATTTATGAAACAAATACTTACCAACTTATAATAAAAACTTTTTTAAGATTGAAAGATTCAAAAATTTTGACAAACATATACTGTCTTTCTGCAAAACATAATCGGCACTTGCTATAACATTATTAAAAATAAAACATTTAATCTGCATAAAATTTCAGTTATTCAGAAAATCAAACACTTTTACGCGTGCAATTTATCAAACACCGCCTAAAACCAATCGTTTATAAAATGTTTGAAATTTTGCACACTAATAAACATCTTGAAAATGGCGACAATAAAAATGTTTCAAAATTTTTAACACTTATTATTTAGAGTGTAGATTTGGACCCTTTTCAAGTAATTTGCAAACATACATAACTCAGCACTAAACTTGTTTTAATATAAAAAAAGTAAGTAATTATAACGAAAATAAATTTATAGTGTTCACACAATTGTTAATGATCTCATCGTTTGTTATAATGAATTTCTTTTTTATATTAAAAAAAGTTTAGTGCTGAATTATGTAGGTACCTATGTTTGCAGATCACTTGAAAAGGATCCAAATCTAGGACCGAAACGTCGTTTTTTTTTTAAATAAACACATTGACCAGCGTAGGTCGTTTAAAAAAACCAAGATTAAAATATTCCTTTCTCTACAATAAATATGATTGGCGCTCTATCGATCCTATTTTGTGATACGTTGAAGTGTAATAGTATTGGATCCGGAAAGTTTTTCTGTGGTGTTGTTTCTTCAATAATCAAATGCTCAGTGAAATTACATTCCCTTCGAAGCCGTCGCATGATCGTCTTAAATCAATTTGACATTAGTGTAAGACGAAAAGAAAAAAATATATAAAAGCAACGTTTTTCTCTTAAGCGAAAAGTCCGATCGAAAGTCGCACACCTTTCATCTTAAACGACTGATCGCGAGACACTGATCAGGTTTGTTCCGCAGGATGTAGCGTGCATTAGACAGGTCCTCGTCTCCCGCGTGATGCAATTCGTACGCGCCGTAGCACTCGCTTCCTCCCCCGTTTTTCCTCCCTTTTCCTCCGCCGACGTGGAAGAGAAGGTGGAGCTTGCGCGACCCTCGACTTCCGCTCGTTGGGGATCGAACGAGCGGGCCCGTGCACACGTCGACGAGGTACAGGGTGTCCCGAAGTGACCGTAAACCGGCCTCGAGAAGCCGCGTTTGGTTTCTCCCGAGTCCGATTTCGCGCTCGTCGAAATTTTTAACGAACGCTTCACCCGTCGAGAGAAGTTTCGGTATTTGAGTAATATCCTCCTCCCCCCCGATATCGAACGGTCTGTTTAATCTCCACCGACGTGAACTCCGCCCGCGGGTCAGTGGAGAAAAAGGTACGATCTTGCTCCGGATAATTTTTTTGCGCCGGAGATTATTTCTCGCGGATTTACTTCATCGGACAATGAAAGTAAACCGCGCGCGCGTGCGCGATCGGGATTTACTTTATTCGATTCGCTCTTATTGTTCGAATTTTCTCGATCTGTTTGACATCCCTATTCTGTATACGTCGAAGTATCTGAAGCGTCGCTCTAAAACGCGCGGACAAATGTAGACAGTTCTTGCCCTGATATATGGTTCTCTATCTCGTAATCGACTTTCTGTCAGATAATCTATTATCTCTCGGTGCGGCGGGGGGGCATCCCGCTTTCTTGAAATGACCTGTACGGGCTTGTTCACGGAAGCGAAAAACTGGGACCGTGGACCATGCGTCTCGCGCGCGTCTCCCACCGCTTTTCCGTGTCCCTTGCGTTTTTCCGCGCGATCGATACCGCCGTCGCGGCGGATCTTTCCCGACGGGTGCCAAGGCGTCCCTTTGCCACCACCGGAATTCGTTTAACGCAAATGAATGTACCGAGTGCCTCGATAACTCCCGCCTTTTCAGCCGTCCGTTTTATCCGCGAATTGTTCGGAGGGTCGGTCGTTCAATTTTAAATACCCTTTCCAATTAATCCTCAAATTTATACTCCGGCGAGTCGAGATTCACCTTGGCGTGGAATAAACCGCATTTGCGCGCTTTATCTCTTGCCGTGGGAATTTCACTCGCGAGAGTCGATGTCCTCCGGGCCTGCCATCGTCTACGCGACAGGCAATCTTGCGGTAATATTTAAATACTTCTTTATTAGGGATAAATTAACTCCGCGTTGATAAAAGAATCCGCGAGGTGCGAGAAAGTGGCTGGGGAATCTCGAATGCTCTCCGCGTGCTGTCAAACCACCGCGGATCATCATTCTCGCAATTTAGCTATCGGCAATAAACTCTCCAAGCAGTTTCTTTTTTCCTCTTGCCTCTACGTTATTAAATAGCGGGATTATTTGATAAAAAGTCTCGCAATAACGACTAATATGCCATAAATCATTATTGCTGTCAATCTGCGCGCGTCGTCGCATAGAATGTACATTGTAACGCGGGGCGCGTTTGTGCAACGCGTTATCTAATGTTATGACGTTCGCTTCGAAGATATTAATAAATTTCTGCCGGCGTGCACGACAACTTTTCGCTGTCAGGATCTGTTTGCCGTCGCGGATATGATATAACTCATGAATCTTTAAGCGCGAGATCGAAGGAGGATAAATCTTGCCGAAAGCTCAGTTTGTCGGAAGGTTCTCGATAAACATTCATTACTTTTAACTTGTATTCATACTTATATTACAGCTTTAAAAGAATGCAAATTATTACTGATGAAATCTTGATACACTGTACTTATTAGAAGGACAGTTTAATCTTTAAGACTTTGAGCGTGATTGAGTGCTTGCGCGGGCGTGTGTGTGTGTGTGTTTGTGTTTATGAGTTTATGTATGTATGTCAATGCGGCCATTTAGCATTAAAGTAGGAGCTAAGGGAAATTTTTAGAATTAAAGATTTAAGGGAGGAGTAAAAAATATAATGTCACCAAAGTAGGTTATTGCTGGTCTATGTAGGTGTATAGATCAGCTAAGTAGGTGTAAATTATCCTTAAAATTGTCAAAAAAGTACCAAAATTTCGACTCGGGTAGGCATTACTTTATTTTATTATCTTTTTTAATGCCTCAGCAAGGCCTAAATTGCCCATAAAAGCCCCCAAACACCACAATGCCCTCAGCGGTTCCCCCCTCGGATTTTCAATTTCGAAATCTACATGGAGAAAATTTTCTGTTAAAATTTACTCTGGAAATCATGCAATTGTGAGGGATTTTAAAGAATTCTATAAGAGTTTTTGAAATTTTACCGTGTTTTACTAGTAAAATTTTAAAAAACTTTTGTACAATTCTCTAAAGTGTCATATTGTCCCACGTGTGCACGGTTTTCAGATAAATTTGAAGAAAACAATTCTCTCCGTGTGCGCTTGTCTCAAATTATTTATCGCTTTATATTATTGAGACTTGGAAGTAGCAACGAAATTAATTTTATCTACGCGGTTTTTACGCGGTGAGGAGGAGAACGGATGTTTTCCAAACGGCGGGAATTGAACGTAGGTATATTGTGTATATTTCCGGCGATGAATTACGAATGGCAGGGGGTGGAATAACTTTCTTCTCGTTTAACTTCTATCGCGACGGATCTCTCGACGTCGTTTGGAGTTCCGCGAAGCGCCGGGATAAATCTCGTAACGCTGATCCAATATCTACCGTTATCCTCGTTTGAGTGAATTCCGTAAGTTTCCGGCAGTTTCCAATCCAGCATTTCGTCCCGTCCAATCGTTCCAAGACATTCGTGATGTATTGGCTTCGAAATCCAACAGACGCAGCATCTTCATCTTATTAAAGTCCTTTCACAAACGACTTGTTACATTTCTCGAAATTATCGCAGCGCGTGTAACTTATTAATCGACTTGTGCTCACGGAATGTTAATATTCTTCAAAATTATCGCCACTTTTACGGACGTTTTCCATGTGCTCCGCGCTATGACATTGAAAAATATTTGACGAAATAGTTGCGTCTTGCAAAATACATTTTCCAAGCGCGCGACTTACGTCGTTTGATTGATCGAGTCGGAGAAATTACATCGACGGCGAATAAAATATGTTTCATTGTACTTTTATTAATCACGGGGCTACTGCAGAAATTTCACTCGAGCTCTAATTAATGGTCATTAAACGGGAAAACCATGCGTGCGTATTCGTTTTTAATTAACGTGCGCCGTCGCAGATGAAAATTGGAGAACTCTGCTCCGTTCATTTACGCGGCGATAAAATTTCCGACGATAAAAATTTCAAATAACTCGCGGAACTTCAACGGCACGAATGATAAAATAAAATGGATAGGGAATAGAAATGGGCTGTAAAACATCTTTAGGGCGCAATAAATCTTCTCTCTTGTCATTTTTATCTCTCCTTACGTACTTGTGACGTTTTTGCGTTTGTGAAAAAATATCCCTCTTTTTCTGGACAGGTGGTGGCGACAGCAACAAGGGAAAGAGTAAGAAATGGCGGAAGATACTTCAGTTCCCACACATTTCCCAATGCATCGGCCTAAAAGATAAACTGGGTGAGTCAGTAATAATCGTAAAAGCGTTAAGAGCGCCGGAAAAATAGGGATACCTTAATCGAGAGACTGTACCGAAAGCTAGTTTACTTAAATAATACTTTGCGATCGCAATTTTGCCGGTCATGTCGACGCTGCGTGTAAAATAGCCGGTAAATAGATCCGTGCGATTATTGAATCCCGGCCTGCAACGGTACGCATTATGCAGTTGAAAAAAAGCAGCAAGGGGCGGAGAAACGAGACAATATGGTCGTTGCGTGTCCCGTTAACCTACTCTGATAACGCTCTGTTAACGCTCTCCTCCGATTTGAAGTAATCAAAAGTTGCGGATACATGCTCTTTTATACTCGCAAATGAGCCCAGTATCATCACATATTCACAGAAGCTTATTTGTAATTGATTATTTAATCGCTAAAAGTATCCTGTCGCGAACTTTTTTAATGAGATTCGTTTAGGCTTAAAGAATATAATGATATGCAACTTTTAAACGACCTGCACTGGCCAACGCTATTATTTAAAAAAATAAAACGACGTTATGGTCCCAGATTTCAACTGATTCAATCTGATCTCTCGTCCAGTACGCATCTCTTGATACTTTTACCCGTGTTTAACAACTAACGATGCAACTTCGACTGACTTTGCACTCTTCAACCAAAGAGTGCAATTATTTTTTTACTAATATCTTACTAACGTAGCGATATTGGCCAAATGAACGATAGGAGATCATTAACAATTGTGTGAACAGATCACTTGAAAAGGGTCCAAATCTGGGACCGAAACGTCGTTTTTTTTTTAAATAAAAACATTGGCCAGTGCAGGTCGTTTAAAAATTACATGTCATTGGTTTCAAGCTACTGGCGATATTAAATCTATTTGTGAGTTAGCGAATATACATATATAAAAGTCGAAAATCTTTTTACGGAATCACTGACCCATCTCGCGTTTACAATTTATGCAATTCTTGCCATTATGGTGTCGGCGACGTAATGAATTGATTTTTAAAAGTAGAGGAAAGTGCCCTATTATGAGATATGTCCCTAATGTAAGATAGCGGTGTTTCTGCTAAATTAATAGACGTTTGTTGGTTCCATCACTAATTTATTGCCCTTAGAGTGAAATCTGTTTAGTGGAAAATGTTATCTGTTTAATTGCGATTGAATTTTAATGCTGGAAACCTACTATGTTATATTAGAATGCTATCTTATAATAGAAAACTTCCTCTATATAAAATAATTTAGAACGCTCTTTAGTCGAGTAAATACCACAACCGTGTCCAGGAATATTTCCGACGGAAAGAACAAGTAGGCTAAAGTCGCTTCGAGCAACAGGCTGGAGTAATTTTACTTTGAAAATCGATATCACATTTCACGGTTGTAAATTAAATTTATATAGAAAACGTATATTCGCGCGCGCGCGCGGCGTGTGGTCCATCACGGGAAAATTCGCGAGAGAGGTCGACGACCGAGATTAAGCTGCGGGAGTGTAATCAATGTAATTGATTGTCGGGCAGACATCAGGTATGGCTACGTGGTGGACCAGCAGCCGATCGGGCGGCTGCTCTTTCGACAATTCTGCCAGGACAAGAAGCCGGCCTACCACCGCTACAACCTCTTCCTGGACGCGATCGAGAAGTACGAGATCGAGCTGGACGAGAACCGCATCGATCTGGCGAAAGAGCTGTTCGAGCAGTACCTGAAGCGGGAGGGTTCGGAGGTGGTCGACATCCTGAACGATTCCCTGATCTCGCAGTGCGAGGAGCGACTCAGCACCGGCGGCAAGGAGCTCTTCACCGAGGTCGCGCAGACCGTGAAGAACTTCCTGGCCGGCGAGCCGTTCTCATCCTTCCTCAGTAGCTTCTACTTCTACAGGTGAAGCGCCAATGAGTAAATTGTAACGCAGATATATTAATCCGTGGGAAAAAAGTTTAACGGGAATTTAATATCGACGGCGAGGGAGAATTGCAGACAATCGAGCAATGTTTGTTTTCCTATCGATTCTTCAGGTACCTCCAGTGGAAATGGCTGGAGGCGCAACCGGTAACGTACAAGACGTTCCGGATGTACCGGGTGTTGGGCAAAGGCGGCTTCGGCGAAGTCTGCGCCTGCCAGGTCCGCGCCACCGGTAAGATGTACGCGTGCAAGAAACTGGAGAAGAAGCGCATCAAGAAGCGGAAGGGCGAGTCGATGGTGCTGATCGAGAAGAACATCCTGCAGAAGATCAATTCCAAGTTCGTCGTCTCGCTCGCGTACGCGTACGAGACGAAGGACGCGCTCTGCCTCGTGCTGACGATCATGAACGGCGGCGACCTCAAATTCCACATTTACAACATGGGCTGCGAGCCGGGTTTCGACATAAATCGCGCCCGATTCTACGCGGCCGAGGTCGTGTGCGGCCTGGAGCACCTTCACCTTCAGGGTATCGTCTACAGGGACTGCAAGCCGGAGAACATACTGCTGGACGATCATGGTCACGTGAGGATATCCGATCTCGGTCTCGCGGTCGAGATTACGGAGGGCGACATGGTGCGCGGTAGGGTCGGCACAGTGGGTTACATGGCGCCCGAGGTGATCGACAACGAGAAGTACACCTTCTCACCGGACTGGTTCAGCTTCGGCTGCTTGCTCTACGAGATGATCGAGGGTCAGGCGCCGTTCCGCGCACGCAAGGAGAAGGTCAAGCGCGAGGAAGTCGACAGACGTGTCAAGGAGGATCAGGAGAGGTACTCGCCCAAGTTCAGCGAGGACGCCAAGAGTCTGTGCCAGCAGCTGTTGAAGAAGAGCCCGAAGAACAGGCTCGGCTGCAAGTGCGGCCGGCATGGGGCGAAGGAGGTGAAGCTCCATGGCTTCTTCCAGTGCCTGAACTGGAAGAGGGTCGAGGCCGGTATGTGGGAACCGCCGTTTGTGCCGGATGTAAGTAGGTGTCGTACGATGATCGATCGTCTTATATCGAGACTTCGTACTTGCCTTCCTTCTGCCTTATCCTCGTTTTCGCGTTTAATCTATTTGTTCATCTATTTGCACTCGGTAAATACGAGATTAACCTCACATAAATTGTACGATAAATAGAACGATAAGAGACTAATTTTACACTCGGTAAACACGCTAACTAAATGTAATAGTCGTGAATTTTTAATTAGCGTATATTATTATGCAATAAAGTGATGTTCTAAGAAATGGCTAGAAATTTTGACGCTATAGTATAGAGTTTTTACTTTATTCTATTTTTTATATTAGCATTTATATAACAGCGAATTACTGTTGTTCGTAGATCTAACATATCTATGTAAAACCATTGTACGAAGAGCAAGAAAATTATTAATCGTTGATACGTCGTTACAGCCTCGCGCGGTTTACGCTAAAGACGTTCTGGACATTGAGCAGTTCTCCACGGTGAAAGGTGTCAATTTGGACGCCACGGACGACACCTTCTACAGCAAGTTTAACACCGGCAGCGTGTCCATTCCATGGCAAAATGAGGTAAGACACCCGTATACGTCATATACATCCGTATCGTAATCACCGATTGTGAGACACGTCGCGCCGCGGAGACAAGGCCTTTGACCCTTCCCATAAAAATAATATTGTTGCTACGTGGCACCCAGACGACCACTTAACAAGATCTCCATTATAACGTGAATATAAATTGTATTATTCGACCGCCCACGCGTCTGAAGCGCTCATATTGATATCGATAGTCTTTCAATAGGGTCGAAATCGTAAGGTAATCTGAAATGATGTTACAGTTTAACAATGTTTTTTTTTGACGAAGTTTTTAGAATTGATTTCTCCGAGAACGTTTTTAAAGAGACTGGTTGAGCATTTTAACCAGCTTGTAAATTTATGCCAAACAGTTTGTACGCTAAAATAAATAAATAAATAAAGCACTAAATGAGCATCCTAATAATGCACAATTTCCAGGGTACATATTATTCCGATTTTTTGTGGCGGAAGTGTTAAGTTAATAGAGATGAGAAAACATCGTTTGTGTAGGATTCTCGTGACATTCGTGATTAAGTACGTCTGCTAAAATCTCGAGATGGAAATTTTGCAAAAATAAAATTTAATTTGGACTTGGAGCATAGCAAGGGGGAACAATAAAGTCTCGTTATTTAAATGCACTTTGGAGGTTTTTGCTTCGCTTCGCTTTCTGAAAATATTACACGTGCATTCGGAACATCTGGAGAGCGGCACTTAGATAAAAAAATATGGAGCTCGTGCAAAGTGTTTTCCTACGTCAGAAGCAGCGCGAGAGCAGCTCGTTATCACTGGCGTTATTCGGGTAGATGTATTTAAAGCCGCGTTGCTGCGTAAGACGCATTACGCACGAGCCACCTTTAGCTTCTGCCGATCTTAAATCACTTACTGCGCACCTCGCGGAGTTGAGATTGTCAAATCGCAATTTAACGCCCTTTATTCCTTCTTGCAGATGATAGAGACTGAGTGTTTTAAGGAACTGAACGTATTAGGTCCTAATAACACGCCCACCCCAGACTTATTGATAAACCATACACCGCCCAACAATGACGACAGAGGTTGCTTTCCCTTTCGGAGAAAGGTAACTTATTTTATGAAGCTTTGAGTTTCGCAGAATTAGTTAAATCTAATTTTAAATAAGAAAAAAGCTCGGAGGACATTTAACAAAACATCTAAGGGATATCAAGACAGACTAAAATTTTAGATACTTTAAAGTATCTGCGTCTTAAGATATTTTTAAATAACTTTCAAAACTATTGTAAGGATACTTTAGAAAGTCACTTGAAAGATCAGGATGTTTTTTAAATTAAATTTGTTTTTGTGCGTCATTAAATTCACTTTGTAACTACTATGGAAAGATGGAATGTATTGTATTTTAATTACAGAGAAAGCAGAGCGATCGCACGAGGGAGATCCCGCTGTCGGAGTGCCATTTACTGGAACTGTCGCAAACGCAAAGTTCGGAGATGCCAGCCAGCTGATCCACGGTGATCAAGAATAACAGTCTGAATCGATTGACGTCGTCGTCGCCGTTTCGACGTTGCCGCCATCCTGGCGGTGCGCGTCTGGGTGCCACTGGTTGCGGCTGCTGCGTTAAAAGCAAGCAGATCTCATTCTCCCTCTCGGTGGCATCCGAAGCCACGACAGCTGTTCCTGAAAACGGCTGTACGGTTTGCATAATAAGAAGCCGCTTCGACCGCGGGGCCGAGGCGTCCTCTCAGGTTTATTGGAGCGAGCTCAAAGATTTGCTCCAGGATAAAACGTACGTTCGCGCGATTCTACGCGCGAGCATACAGCTACGCGTGTGCGGCAAGCAAACGCGACACGCGGAACCCAAGCGCATTGTATGTTTCTGTCAAATTCGAATGACACGTTCGTTACCAAATATATTTTCCTCGAGCTCGCACACGGGAACGCTCGACGTGGAGTTTTGCACGTGTGTCTGCGTGTATCGACGTGTTTTATCGAGCTTCGATGTGTCCCGATTCATGAGTCGTGGGCGAGAGAAAATTTAGGACGATATGTAGATAGACAATTGTGTCACTCACAGCGCGATTACATGGCACATGTAATATTCTGAATCCGACGGAAATTTGATTTTCAGAATGCATAGCGTAGCAGTATTTCATTTCTCATTAATTATGAAAGGGCGCGCAAAGCCTTAAAATCTCAAGTTTCGGCCTTGTTTTAAGTTGAGACGAACAAGTATATTTAGTTGTACAAACGGATGCGCAATCATTTACGAATACTTCTTCGACGTACTTATGAAACTTTTTTTAAAAATTAATGAATAGAAAAATTTAATTTATATTAATTTTCAGAGAGAGTTTCTCTTGAGGTACATCTTTATTTCCTGACGCTTTATTCTTAATGATCGAGGAGCTCGTTGTCATCCCATCGAAAAGAATCACATTGGCGCATGGTCAACAGACGTGATAAATCATGCTGTAACCTAATTATTCATTTATATCCAAATCGCTCTCGGTGCTTTTAAGTACTTGCCGAGAATATCGAGACCGTTGGCGTTCGCTCGCACGATTTTTCGATCGTCAACGATCCCGACACTGTTCGGTAAGGTCGTATCTGTCGGAGGCGAGTAAGCTACGTGGCCAAGAACTTCGGTCGCAACCGCGTTCGCGCTTCTATGATTTATACACTCGCGCGATAGGGTTTAAGATGGGACCCGCGGGGGCCGAAATGGAGTAGAGAGAGCTTTTGTGAGCGAGCGATAACGAGCGCGCACGTGGGACGGACGGGTCGTAAAAGAGCACGTGAAGAGCACGGCGTTCGCCCGCTCCGTCCGCTTCCTCGCTCGCTCGTTTTCGCGTATCGCGATATTAAGCTACCGGCAAACGGACACCCGACACTGCCGCGAGGTAAATAAACACTCGCGCGCGTTTATAAACGTTAATCCGATATATATCCGGAGGCATGTGTGGGTACGCGATGCAGCGAGTTGACGGCGCCGAGAAGACGCTACGTCTAAGAGCCGCGACGAGCGAATTAGCAGTGAAGTATATTGATCTGGCGTTGCCAAATGGAGACATTAGGTAAAATGATAAATGTTAAACTCACGATAAAACGTTTGCGGGCATTTCATGGCGCTGTCACCATACGGCAACATGTATTATTAATGGCAAAAATAATTTTCATCTCGGACGTCGTTAACATGTATAAGTTGTGTTCAACCGCGAACGCGGATTGGTGTTATCTCTTAATACTAGGCAAGCATCCAGAAAATAAGGAATAAGAGATAATATATGAGAATTGCGTCTGTCGACCATTTGCAGAGAGACCGCGTTACATCCGCATCCTCCATGGTAGTATCTTTCAAATCGTTGTAAAAGTTTTGCGCCAGTTTTCGGTATATCGATTTTATCGCGTTATTTTTACACGAGAAATCTATCTCACGCAGGATCAGTCCAGTATTCGAGTCAAATATGATGATTTGGTGTTAATAATAACATTAAGGAAGATTCTATTTTAATCAAAAGTCTGATTTGTAAAGTAGATTCGTTAAGAGGAAAGAAATCTAGTATTAAAATTAAGACTTCTCAGATTCGTTCTGCCAATTCAAGGGGCAGAGCTTTAACTTGCAGGACATTTGGAATCTCAGCAACGTTTTATTCTCTTGATTGCGTGTCACGTTAAATCCCTGCACGTGCGCTTTCGAAAACACTGTTCGCGAAGCGAGCGAGAAGCTCTTACGAGTCGGATTAACGGGCACACTCGGACAGTTCGCGAGCAATTTGGCCGTTCTCCAATTGCGAGTCGTGTGCCAACGTTTCGAGTTACCGCCGAAGACTTCGCGTCTGTTTGGCAGACAGTCGTCGCGAGTCATCGTGTTGAAAACGTCGCCTCCCTCGCGTCGCGTAAATCCGAACGTCGATGCACCCGGAATCCTCAATCTCATCGAGAATCTCTTGCGAAACTCGACCCCGCCGTTTAAAATAATATATTGAAAAATCGATCGACGTCAGACAAAAATAATGAATTGGGAAATTTTATTTTTACCGAAACGTCCTCCGTGTTGTCTAGCGCGATAACAAATTTCCGTCATTTATGAAGGGATTTGCGGAGATTAACTCGATGACTGCTGTATCAAGTGAACACATTGTACGCAGTTAGTCTTGGAAATTTGTTATCAGTATAGCTTCTCGTCGAGGAGATACAAAGATGAGTAGACGAAATTATTCAATTAAAATAAATGTTTGAGGAGAGCCATGTCGATTTATAAGCGGCACTAGAAAGCGTGTAAATGATATCTCGTTTTTGTATGTTATTTTTTTTTATTCGCCGGTGTCGTTAGAAAGAGAGACGCATAAACGGTAGCAGAAACAGGTTCGCGCGCGCACATACAATTTCGCGTGCATTAACGAGAAGTATTCGAGATATTTAAGATTGAGTTTTTCGAATCGATAAGCAAAAATTTAGATTAATTTCGTAGATTGAACGAAAAGTTCTATATTTATTATCGATCATTACGCCGAACTAACGAACTGAATGTAAATTGCAGAATTCAGTTGTTAATTGCGATATTAATTATTTGTTACGACATTTTACAAAACGCACAATTACGCCTAACGATCGCCATGTGAACAATACTCCGAACAAATTTCTCCTCATGTATAGCTCTATAAAAGTAATTATTTTTTATGATGATTACACTAAAATAGTCATGGCTTAATTTACGAGGCCGAGAATAGTTGAAGAGTGTAGGTCAAATGTCTCTTAAATAGGTGTCAGGAAAATGTATTACTCCTAAACGTGTACTTTCTTTTTGATATATTGACGTTTTCCCTATGTTAAATACTACAAGTATTAAATACAAATAAGAAGTATGAAACATTGACACATATCATATTTTAAGAAAATATTAAGAAAAATTCTATTTGATTTGTCTTGCTGTACGTACAGAGAACTAAGCGCACAAGTTTTTAGTAAGCAAATGTGATTTGATATCTCTTTCCCTTATAACTCGGAGTATCGTTTCTGACACTTGACTGATATTTGACGTTCATTTCTTATCCGCGTAATATCGGACATTTAAATAGGGAGATGCATGTTTCAGCAGAACGATGAGTGACTGAATGATTCAAGTTGACCGGTAATTAAATTTCCTCGACGTCAATGCGGCCTTAAGTCGTCAGTGTGTACATGTATCGCACAATCTACGTGAGAAACACTATTTTATCTGCAACCACTCGAGATCAGTGTTGCTGTAAAACATGTTAAAGGGGTCAGTTTTACGACGGTGTAAAAAAGATCACCTTTCGTCGGATAAACCTCAAGGTGGGTACTATGTCATAAATATAAATCGCACCCCCCCCCCCCCCTCTGTGCGAATGCGAAAGTACTGTATTCGCCAAACAGGAAGACAGAAAAATCTTGAATTCTGCCTAAAGAAATTTGTAAACCAACCTTGAAGACCAATTAATAATTAATAATTTACGACTTGTGTAAAGATCGTAAATTATTACTTATTTCACAAAGAAATGTAAATTTCTGCGAATTTGTTCAAATTTATTGATCTTCATGGAGAGAACTGCTTACATTAGATTGCTAGTGAAATTAGCGAAGAGCGAACAATTTATAGTCTTCTAACGTATCGCCGATTTGTGGTTCGTTTATTCTCTTTGCCGGCAACGCACGAGTTCACTCAGCGTGGAGAATCTGTCGTAATCTTTTAACTGTGATTTCTCGAAGTGTCCTGTTTAATCTCGTTAGTATACCGAACGTTTCAGTAATATTTTTTAAGACGTTACTTCCTACATCGTTCTCCTATCGTTTATACACACCTGTTTCGCATTATTTATATAACAACGCGGATAAGGGAGATACTCCGCTCTGACGAGGTCTACTTGTAGATAACGATGCCCCACTACTATATATATTCGCCAGAAGAATACCAAATTATTTAATAATTTTTCTAAGCATAAATAAGCGCGCAAACCCTCTTATTCCCAATAGAAATATACATATATTTTTCTGTCTGTGTACGTAGCGTAGGTAGGTAGGTATACATATACGATAGACTGCTGAATATACACTTTTGCAAATAGTATTCGTTTCTCTTGTACAATTCGTATTTAAATTATTATGGATCTGTGTAAGCATTTCATTTACGCGAGCATATAGACGTATATCTAATTCATAAATGCGCGAGTGTCTGTGTGTGGACGAATGGGTGGATAAATATGTGAAATATTGCTATTTAATCTGATCCAACAATTTTCGAAATGTACATACATAAATCATAGAGCATATTTAATATATGCGTATGCGCGCGCACGCGCGTTTGTATGTGTGTATCTGTGCGTGTTAAATATTCTCTGTGATTAAAATGTCGTCGAAGCCGCACACTTCGGATCACGTTAAATAACTCTCGTTTCCCGACTATCACATAATCATACGGACGTGAATTCTCTCGTCGACCCCAGTTCGAGGCCAGATCTAATCGAGTAACGACCATCGATGATAAATTAATGGCTAATATAATTAATAATGTTAAATTACCGACTAAGGTGATGGGTATGTCCCCCGCGTTAATATTCGCCGTGTCGCGCTACAGTCATCGTTCGATAGTCATTCCATCCTATCACGTGTGTAACGCATCTTCGTTCTACCCTTGCGGAACGGTAGAAGGATCCGAGATGAATAATTAGACGATTAGCTAAATATATTCGAATAGGTATGTCGCTTGTCCGTATCTATCGGTGTACGGGCGGAGAATTTTTCAGAGAGTCAGAAGTACCCCGAGGGTACGCTACCGTCATTGTCGGGTCGGAAGACGAGCGACGGTAGAAGTGTGCAGGTAGCGATCGCTGGCCTCGCGGGATGCGAGCGGGCTAAATTTTCTCGTTCCGACCGCGCATCTGTCATCGCGGCGGCGGCGTGTGACAGCTCCGAGTACCGCGCGGTCTCGAAATGTGCCAGTAATTTAGGACTGATCGACATAGGTAGGCAAGAAAGAATGTACCACTTTATTATTGTTTTATATTATATTTTATATATCTCACTCGGGTATTTTTCTTTCCGTACGACGTCTGTCTCCCGCAATTTTGCGCACCGCTAAGAAACTAGGGACCCCGTCGTTAGCGCAAAGGCGATAAGTCGCCAAGTCTCGAATTGATAGCGCGACCCTCTTCCGTGTACACTGAATATGTGAACGATTACTTCGGGTACGCGACGATTCGTTTATCGCACCGATAAATTTCTGCTTGTATCACTGGATGAGTAATGTTACACGAGGAGGCCGACTGTTCCGTGTAGATACGAGGGGTTCTCGGAGCGAGGTCCAAATAACAATCGCATAACATTAAATGGAACATGTCAACCCTTCTATGAGTACGTGTGAGGTTCCGACTCGTTCCATCAAGTAGTTCATTTTTCATAGATGTTTAAACGAACGTATCTACACGAGAGATGAATACACTCCAAGTGCTGCGATCAAATGTTTTATGAGGAGGGGATCATTGGCAAATGACATTCGTACTGATCTGCAAGACAAGCTCTGAAATAATCCTCGCGAAATATCCGATCACAGCCCGCAGTTTATTCATCTTTCAACAATCACGCAGATACGTTCGTTCAAAGATCTATGAAAAATATTAACTATGTGATGGAACGAGTTGGAAATGTACGCGTACGTTCATAAAAGGGTTGGAACTTTCCAAATGTTATTTGTACTTCGACAATTTTTCAGATGGCCCTCGCACAGTGATAATAGGTCTGTTTTTTTTATAGCTAAACTGGCTGCACTAGTTCAGAGTTTATCTTTTTCCCTCTACATTAGAAGGAGAAAGATAAACTCTGAACCAGTGCAGCCAGTTCAGCTATAAAGAACAGGCCCATGAATATTGATATCGATAGGGATTACTCAAGCACGGACGTAGATGTCTGTATTGCTCTAAACAGTGAAAATAGTACGTAAAATTACAAGTACAGGTACAATACAATTATGTACAACAAGCGTAAAATGTATATGATGGGTTTTTACACTTGTTACTTGTGTCGTCTTACGTACCATTTTTACGATTTACGATGGCAAAAGAAACGCCGTCGGGGCATTACAGCATCGCCGTACGTATCTACATCTCGTCTCTCCATTCATCTTTCCTCTCTCATCTTCCACGTCCGTTGCCGTCAACACCTGTAATAAACGCCTCGACGCTTCCGCTGTGATGTCGTATTTGCCGTGCCAAGATAATGAAGATAATTGATTGACTCGCGGTAGTGTTAACGCGTAATAGCAATAGTGTACATATATAAGCGATTCAGAGACCCTCAAAGTAATTGTGGCACCGCCGGCGATCTTTCAGCGATGAGGACAGTGGAGCAGTTGCAGGATCATTGAAAGACGACGATCTCTTCAATGATCTCTTTACGCTGTAAAATTGTTCAAGATCTATCGCGAGATATTTTACATAGAACCAAGAACTGGCTCCCACGAATTCATTGGAAGATAGTGGGCTTCTGTCCTCATCTTTCGCACGATTTTAATTAATTTTACTGTCGTACCGCATCGCGTAGCGTCGCGTACCCCGAAGTGTCCGGGCCTTTGTTTATGACGCTGTCGTCGCAACGGGAGACCGTCGCAAATCAGCTCGCCGCAGAGTTAATGTGTAATTATTGTGACGTCGTCCTGTAGATTAGAGCGTGCGATATTTTAGTCAGGCGAGTTTCACTTCCGCACGAAGACGCATTTACAGGCGTTTGGTTTACCGCTGACCGCGAGTCTCGCGGAAGCCTGTCGCCGGAAGGCAACCGAGAGCCCAGTTAAGCGCCTTAAATGGTTAATTTAAAACGTTTAATTAAGCTGACTAATTAACGACTGTGCGTGATCGCTTGCATCCTTCCGATTTGACCGCTCGAGGGAAGGAGAAAGAGTACCGGGGAACGATCGTCAGGCAATGATCGTTTCGCAATTCGACACGCTCGTATAAATTCTTTTTTTTTTATACTTGGGAACTCCTCGCGATAGATTTTTTTTACTATGCGACTTTAGCAACTGTGCGCGGTTTTGCGAGCAATTGAATGCCTTCGGAACGCTTCTTGACGCGGATCTTCAGTAAGTTTTAAGTAGGCCGATATCCCGATTCCTTTCGCAAGTCGACAATCCTCGGAGGACGAACAGCGAACAGGAAAATGTAAAATAGCATTCTTTCTGTTCCACGGCAAGCCAAAAATGATGAATATTCTTGTTTCTTTTTCTTTCTTTTACAATTTCGACACGTTGCGTTTCGATACGACTGCTGTGGGGAAAAAGCTATAAATACTATACATATAAATATATATATATATATACATATATATTACCGTGTGTAAGTTATAAATACGCGGATATCTACTGTATTTATAACTTATATGTTTATACACATGCAAATATAGACACGTATATAACCAGACACGACTCGTAATCTCGCCAATGTCTCTCCGCTATCTAATTTCCTCTCGCAGTTGAAGGATGATTCGCAAAAAGTCGAATTTCCGCGACGTCAACGAGGCCGATTTTATTCAGTCACGAGTAAGGAGATTGCATAATTAATACACAGATATTTACATAATATAATATATTGTCACATTTCACTCTTTATATATATATATGTATATATTATATGTGTATATATATTATATACACATATACATATATATTTTTTCTTCCCAATTTTCTTACGTGCTCAGATCCTAAGCTACAGTTCTTAATTCGCATAATTGTTAATTTGTAACGCCAGAAAACGATGCTTTATTTTACATTTGTCGTTAGGGCAATCTCTCAAAATGGATCCAAACGCACTCGTATTACGGGCTTCAACGCAAAAATTAATACAAAAGATGCGTATTAATAATATTCTTCTCACCGCTTTCTCTCTTTCGCTCTCTTTCTCACCTAACTTTACTACCGACCAATTTATTGATGTCTTATTGTCACGAGTCAGAATGCCTGCGGGTTTATTGTAATATTAAATATCTTCTATCAAAATTGGTGTCGCGAATCTACAATGATTATTATTCCATTAAAAGCGTTCTTTGCTTTTCACGAAATGTTTTCATTTTACATAGTCGTGATAGTCTTAAACATTAATTTAAATATTTATCAAACATACGCATGACATTTAATAACAGTCTAAAAGATGGCACGGAGTTTTAAATATTTGGCATAATCAAGGGCGTTTATTTAACACGCATTTTTATTGTTAACGCAATTATTAGAAAAAAAACGATAGTTCAGTATTTTACATTATGTAATTCCGCGCCTGCAGGCATCCTGAAGAGCGTTGATGATTCATGATTCTCGAAACGTGTTACATAAAAATATAGCTAAACCGACGAAAAACTATGAAATTATCACTTGCGGCGAGAGAGCAGCGTCGACGATCCGCCTTTCGATTATCAAGACACTTCAAGTTCGCGAAAGAAAGTTATTGTCTTGCCAAGAAAGTTCGCGACGATATAATAGCTCTGTTTTACGCTACGCTACTGAAAGCTATTGTAGTAAAAAGTGTCACAACTATGCTTGTTCTAATTTAAGTATCTAATTTTTAGGAGGTGGGACGGACGAATCGCCGAGCTGCCTCTTAAATACGATATTACGGTAACTAAAACTATGTGGGGAAATTAGGATAATCCTTCAATTAGGCGAGATCTCGTTTCACGAATATTCGGTAAAAAACACGTCGTTTTTTGGTCCTAGTACAACTCTGCTACGGATATGTGCAACGGTGCCATTCTTCTGGGCTACCGAGGACTATCTTCCGCTCTTAGAAACGAAGTTAATCTAAAGATGCAAAATACACAATAATATCGCTACTGCTACATCGAATAAAAAAGACAAACGCCGAGATAATTAAGAGTAAAGAGAATGGCGAGTCCTAGGGTAAAATCGAAACCGAAATTGCTACGATCATTTAAGCGTTGTTGTTCGTATACGAAAAAATCGAGACTTAAATATAATTGTATCTTGAGAGGCACAGACGCGCCCAAAGATCGAGCAACGTGCACACCGCTTTACCCTGTCAACAGAAACGCACTCTATGCAATAGGGCGAGACCTTTCCTTCTTTCTTCCTTCGTTAAATCACGTCAGAGTAGATGAGGATTTTAGAGAAATCGAACAAATATATTTCTTGTCAATTATAACCATAGGTTTGTGAGTTCATGCGATTTTCAACATCGATGCAATAAAAAGTTTGCTAGGAGAAAGAGGAGATAGCAGTATATTTATATATAAACTACACTTGATATTTATCTTGTTTTATTATCAGCGTTTTTTTTTTGAAAGTGCACATGAACTTACAAACTCCCCTAGAAATTATCTTTTGTGTTTTTTTTTTGTCAATTGCGAAGCTTCACTTAGCTTCAACAAGCTTATCTTCTTTCCATCCTCTAAATTGCCTGCAAACGTCACTAGTTTTCTTTAGCACGCATAATTCCATAACATGCACTAGCATAAACGGGACGACTCCGGAGAGCCGTTTCTTTTACTGCTGCCATTTTGTCAGAATCGCACAAACGCGCGCGCACATACAAGCACACACACACACACAAACACATATACACGGATTTTATCACCAGTGGCAGTAAAATATAAAAGTATTATGCGACGTTGACAATTGCATGCCAGCGCGTAACAAATACACTATTAACCCCCCGTTTCCTCGTTTTGAACGCAACGAATTATTAATCGTAAGGGCAATATCAAGGGTATTCATGGTTTAACTTAACGACAAAGATGAAGGGTGGTGCGTTAAAAATGCGTTGGAACGAAGGGTTAAATCTCCGCACGCACGTGCGTATAGATCTCTATTAGGGATGCAAGATATATTAACGATATATCAAAATATTCTCTTTCAAGACGTGGAGATAGACTTTGCAACAGGTGTTGCCTGAAACCGCTCTCTTCCGTAAGATATTACACTTTTTCGCAAGTTACTCTACCGGCTTTTTCACAAATTCCTCGTAAAATAGACGCTACAAAATCTCTACGGTCACGGATATCTTCCATTATAATATTTTCGGCGAAACCATAAGAATATGCGAGAGATAAAAATGTGTACGTGTTAGCATCTACATTCAATCACAGTTCCTTCGTTATTTCTTCTTCGGTAATTTTCTTAAGTCTTTTCTCTTAAAAGCGAGTATGCGACGCGCTTCGACTATTCGATAATTGAAAAGACGTTAACGCGTCGCGCTGTCGTTGCAAAAAAAGAGGATGCATTTCCCACGGATATTAAGGTATCATCCAGCAGGAATATGCACGCGTGATATCGTTTCCGGATATTTGCATCCCTAGTGTTAATCTAAGACGAAACGGATCGCGGATGCGCGTGAAACGAAAAGAAGCGGCACCGTAAATGTATGGAATGTTCGCCAGCGTGTACGGACGATTCTCGGTTCGAGTTCAATTACAAGTCCGTCCGAGTGCCAAAACTACAAGGGCGTTGAGATAACGAGGAATAGGCAACGAGGATACACATACAGCAAACAACGCTTATCGAACGCTACGACTAATTGTAAGACTAACAGCTTAGACGGTGCTTAATTAACTACAGTGACACTTTGATCGTTATCTCAACCTTTCTGGCACGTCGGCCGGATTTTTCAATTCAACTCTTCCGCCGGTTCGTCGCACGGAGAAAGATAAGTATAATCGCGACGAGATCCCTCACGGTCGCGATCGTTTTTCTTCCCCGTCCCGGATACGACACGTGTATTGCTTGTAGGCTATTTAGAAGTATACACACATCTTGAACGCGATTTTGATTCACAGTATACATTAGAATCGCGTGTAATAATTTATCGAGCTCTCCTCTGCTCGTTTGTGGACTTGGTAATTAATTTGAGGAAGAAGGCTTGCATAACCAGTGTAACTCGCATGCGCGCGTGAATTCCTCGTTTAAGATCAATTAGAAACTAGCTTCTTAAATTAATTAGAATTAAAATTTTGTAAAATGTATATAACGCGCTGCAATCTCTCCGCAGGAGCAAACCAAAGTTAATCGCGATTGTTTTCATGTCGCGACGGCGATAAATCTCACTATCCGAACGTGCCGGATTTACAAATGTGGTGTAATTGGTAAAAAAAGTTATTCCTTATGACACACCGCATAATATAATATAATATAATAGCACTATCAGTATTCGCACGCGGTGAATTAATCGTGTCCTCGTGAGATATCAATTGTTTTAACTGGACAATCCAGAAATTATATTTTCTCAATTTGTTTCTGTAAATTGCTCTATCGTTATTCTATTCTGTTTTCTTTTTAGCGAGTTATTGAAGATTTAGCATTGCTTGGATATTACCTGTTGTATAAAGAAATAATGACAGTTCATACTGACAGCACTAGTATAAAATGGCTATATCGATTACGCTTAACTTGTCTTCGCAAAGCAAGAAATATCCGACGCTGTCAAGTAAAATTAATTGAGAAGCGCTTGCAGTCGTGTTATCGCGTACATCCAGAAGGGATCTTCGCCGTGAAATCGTACGGGAGATAACAGCCTTGCCTCAAAATCTCGTAATTGGGCGGGCAGATCCTAACGCGGGGGTTTGCCAAGGATGAGATCCGAATCTGGAAGACGAGTCGTTTCACCCTAAATTCTTCCCTTTCGGCGTCCCGACACGATATGGCTGCCTCTTGTTCCAGGACGCTCCTTCTTCAGTCTAGAGAATAATACGTCGATCTGCTGACCGATCTCGCTCCCGATCACGGTTCCTTTTTAGAAGGAGGAGACGGTTATCACCGACTGCAACTCGATGATCGACGGAAATCCTCCGCGACTTCTGCTTCCAGAAAAGCCTCGCCTTCGTCGTTTCGATCTCGATCCGGTCCGTCTTGATTGTTTACACCTGAGCGGGTTTCGCCTTGCCGACCACCAGCATTATCTTCTGCAGCAGCCTCGTCGTGCTTACTGCAACAAGAACGAGCGAGGTGTTACAAAGGCGGTGGCCGCGGTGACCCGAGCTTGTTGGATGCAAGGTGCGGTTCTAGCAAAAGGTCAATGTATATCGACACCGCGACATCAATCGCGTCTGTTAGTTGCCGATGTCTGAGATGTTAGGGCTCTTTGAAGGAGATTCGATCTGATGCGTTTGAGTGTGTCGGTGTGTCTGTAGTGCCGGTGTATGATGTGCGAAATCAAATCTCAACGATGTCCTAGTCAACTTAGGCGAAAGGCGATTAACTACTCGCGATAAGATTAGACTGCAGATTCGAGGGAAATGTATCGAAATATTTCAGAGATTGTGATTGTCGAGCAAATCTGACCGAAGTCGCGATGCGCGCTGAGAAAGTTGTATACTGTTCCAAACTGAAGAAATGATAAGCAAGATGAAAAAGGTGTTGGGCAAAAATTTATTCTTGAAAACTTATATATAATGAATACTATATTATTACAATATATACAATACAACAGGAAGCAGTTAACAATTGATAAAATTTATGAGATCAAATGTAGATGCATAATGGAGCGAAGAGAAATCGTGATAACATTAGAGGCATGCGTGCATGAATCGACGATCTTGAAACATGAGAGAATTCCAGCAAAAGTTCTAATCAGATAAGGTAAAAAAACAAGAAGCAAAGAAAATAGATGAGTGCTAAACATGCGTGACATGGCAAGAGTAAAATTATGTTACAGTGTGTTCTGAACCTTTGCCTTTTGTGGCCCCACGACTACCATCAGCTTCTGCAAAGTTTGGGTGACGGCGCCTGCGGGAATAAATCGGTTAACGAGATGAGAGAAATTAATCGTTCGCGTAGTTTCGCGGCCGTAAAGAGATCTTCTCAAATTATAAATTAAAATACCACCCGGAACGATAACGACGCGTTTTTCATTAAATCACTCGGCGGTTTTAAATTAAGGTAAATTTAGAGCGCCATGCTTCTTTTCTTCCATTTCTCAATTTCTTTAAACCGGTATTGTCAGTTAACACATTTTCATGAAGGAAGTTACTTATTTTTTTCAATAATAATGATCAACAATCGAGCATTTCTGCGAGTATCGCGTCCGATATAGCGTTCGATGTATCGGTATTTGATTTAAATCGGTGACGTATCGCGTACGTATCATGCGTTCGTTAAACTTACCGACTCCTTTCTGGAAGAATTTCGGCTTGTTTTTCCATGCGACGAATATGAGGTAGACAGGTATGGAGGAGAGTATCATTAGACAGCCGTATCCTAAGACAGAATCGCTCTCGTGAGATATTCCTTACGTCAATCGTGTCGCGAATCATTGGTGACGAATACTCACCAGTTTCGATGGGACTCGCGTACATCGGTACAATCGTAACGAACAGAGTTGCCAGGATATAGAAGAATGGAAAGATGAGATTCACTTTGATCGGCCTCGTCAAATTCGGCTGGCTCCACCTAAGCCACGGAAGGCACAGCACGGAAACGCCTATGCTGAGCTACAAATTGAATTAAATTCGTCGTAAATATAAATTGTGAGATTGTAGATGAAATTTATATAAATCCAAGCGTTCCAAAGGATTTAAGATAATTACTTAAAAAGTAATGTATGTATTTATTACTGAAGTAGGAATGTTTTAAACGCTTGTTAATACTAAGAGTTAACAAATATTTTCTTGAATTAATGTACAAATATATATTTCGCGCAGGATCAAGGATAATATTGAGAATTAACACACGTGTGTGTTAAACATGCGTGTGTGTGTGTTTTGAAAAAGTTATTAAAAAGAAATCGAGTGTATATATAGATGCAAAGATCGACTTGAAGCTAATCGTAAGAAAAATCTGTCCCGAAATATTTGTAGAGTCCATATAAAAGCGGGACAATATAATGCGCGGCTTAACGGAGCAGCTATTTTTTAATAAAGAGGCTTTGTGTATATGATAATGCCGATCCAACGGCGGCTCAAAGTCAATTGCGTCAAGTGATATCGGAGCAATTGGACAATTATTACTCTTCTAATCGAGCTAATTCCTCGTGGGCAGGTACATAAGCTTCTAAGAAATAATTATGTGGCCGCAGGACAAGCGCGCTGCACGACCTTCATGACGAAGTATCATTCGCGCGACAAAGTCGAGGAGAAAGTCGGCTGTTTTGCGATACTTGCGAGAAAAGAATCCGAAGTCATGGCCACGGTAACGAGAAGGCTGTCTCTTCGTGCGTGGAATTATTTTGCGACACTTATTTTCGTTGTGGGAGAACAAGCACGGCGAGAGCGCGAAAATCGTACGTACCCAGGTGGCGAATCCGACGTAATTGATGAGACGGAAGATGTTGGAAGAGCACAGGTACAGCATGGACAGCAGGGCCTGGAAGAAGAAAGATTGCGTTTTCACTTAACGTTCGCGCTTTCGACAGACGGTACCTTTAATTCTGACAGTGTCTATTTGACCGCCGCAACAAGTTTAACGGTGGAAACAATCTGTCCCTTAGATTGTGCTCTTGTGTTTGCCGAGTCTGGCAGCAATCACGTTGGTCAACAGGCGAGAAGTGTTGGGTTTGTGAAAATTTACGCGCAGTTGTTTCGCGACATAAAGGCTTAAAAGAAAAGCCGAATCGGAAATCCAATCGAAATCCAGTCGAAAGAAAATCATATATTGTCAAATCATATAAGTAAGGTCGAAACGTTGCAATGTGTTAAATAAAGGAATTTGCCAGTTGGATTGACAATAAGCTCACTGTTGTAATCATCACCGGCGACCACAAGTGGCTTCTTTTTCTTTCGTTTAAAAAATATATGTATAAAGTATTAATGTAACTAATTGTGAGTCGCAGTTACAGACAGAGAAAATGTAACGAAGTTAAGTTAGAGTTACCAAGAAAAAGTAACTGTAACTCCGTTACGAGTGACGAGTTACTTCCCCAACCTTGCCGATCAGTATCGTAGCCTTCAACTGGTTGATATTTTTGTCGCGGTAAAGATAAACCTACGAATTGGAGGGAAGAGCAGTTTACCATGCAAATTACGGCGGGCGCAGGTGTCAGCCTGGAAATTTGGATCATCGTCAGTATCTCCGGCATCTGACCCTCGCAGGCACCCGCGTAGAAAAGCCGCGAGGATGTGAGTAGAATGCCGTTAACCGCGCCGAATGTGGATAGAGCGACGAAAACCGGTATCGTCCACGCCATCACGCCGAACAATCTGTTCGCGTACGTCTGCACATAATGAAGATAGAGTAGGAGCTTCAAACGGTGAAGTAACTATTATATTTTAGAAAGTTATTAGTCCATACATATCAAGTGAATACTACTCGGCGAGTATTTACATTAAGATAGATACACAGTGAAAAATAAAATGTTAACGTTAACATTTTAGTTTTCACTGTGTATCAAAATGTTACAAAAATGTTACGAAAATAATAACGTATCTGTTTTATGTTAAATTTACATTGAAACAATATTATAATCAAATCTTGGCAACGCAAGAAAATTTTAGCATTTGAACACACGATTTTTTACTGCGTATAAATATTTATGACGATTGAAATATTAAAAATGTTGCATTCTTTGGTCCACATTTCTTTCGAGACTCTTGAAAGACTCCGCTTTTTATTGAAAAGAATATGATTTCTGGTGTTATTTACCACCGCAACAGCTTCGCTACCGAGCACTTCGACGGGGCTGAGAGTCGTGTAAAAGGCCATGTTCGTGAAGACGTAGACGACCGTAACGAGAGTGCACGAGATGCCGATGGCCTTTGGTAGATTCCTAGTAGGTGAAAAATAAATACACGGTTATGAGCGCGCGGAAGTAAACGAATTTTGCAAGTGACCATTGTCACCGAATTAACGTTCAATTATGAACTTCCTCTGAATCGCGTTTAATTTATTGCGCGACGGGCTTAGTTCTCACCTAACGGGGTCCTTCAGTTCTTCAATTATGAAGTTCAAGTAGTTCCAACCGTTGTAAGCGAACAGGCCTGAATAAAAACTGAGGGCTATAGACGTGACTTCCGTGTTGCTGTTGTCGAACGTGAAATACTGCGTGTGTCCTGAGAAAGCGAAAAGACATCATCGATTTTATCGTCAAATTGTTGCTTCGCCGAACGAGAGTAATTAATTTTTAACATTATTAATATTCGAAATAATTAATGCGTATAACTTCGGGAACAACCAATTTGTAACTTTCATTTATTTGCGTTACGTAAAACGCGCAACCACATTTACATATTATGTCTCGGTAACAAGTTTTAATTGACATTTCAATTTTTTGTATTCTAATTGGTGTATTTCAATGAGTTTCCTTTTTAATTAGTTCTTTTATGTGGAGGGAAACTTTGAGCGGATTCGTTGACGGAAGGCGAGCGTACAGTGGGGCGCAAGATCGAAAAAGAAGTTCCGTCAGAATCGAGACGATTGTTGCACACCACGGTCAAGGAACTGTTTGGTTCTCTGAATAGTCCAATTTAAGTGATTCTTTGCACGCACACCGACTACGTCGCCTGCGCACCTTTTTGATTGGGTAAATTGCCTCGTCCGGCAAGCGTACTATGTTACAAAAATGCTCAACCCGTCCTCCTCGTCTAAGGTCTTTCTGCGTTGACGTTTATCAAAATTTCAGTCGACCTGAGATCAATTTGTTTTTTACGGTAATTTGGTTGCAGGTCCCCAGCGGAAAAATTTCTATAAATAATTACAAAAAATTGACTTGAAATAGAAATTTGTAGAAATTTTTATCTTCGTTGAAACATTTATTTTTTAGTAAAAATATCTACGAAACAGTACCACAAATTACAATGTTCTCAAATCAAGAAATTATTGCAAATAGTACTTCACGAAAATGTACAATTTCGTAAAAATTAGTGCAAAACTTTACTAGTTTAAAAAATTTTGGGAAACAACAAAATCTTAAAGAATTAAAGCGTCTGCTTACTTGTAGAACATTACAAAAGTTAACAAAAGCGCTCCACTTCTAGCATTTTCATGTTGATTTTTATAACACTTGTTAAATTTACGTAGAGTCTCTTAGATTCTGGCAGTTGTAATTTAATTTTTTTGTAGAATTTTTTAGAATTATTTCTGGCAGGGGTGTAAGTAATTGTAAGAAATTTTTCTTAGCTTTATATCGCGGAGCCTCGAATCCTCGCCACGATAGAACAAATCGTGTCTATCCAATTAATTTTTTCTACCCCTTCGTGATTTTATCTTCGACGCCGGCAAGAACGAGAGGAACGATGAAAAATACGATTGGCGTGTTAAGAAACGTTGGAACTATCGATCGACCAGACAATTCATCCGCGAAGAGAAAGTCTGTTTGATGTAAGATCGATTCTTTCGATTTGTTGAAGGTACACGAGAACTTCGGTGCCTCGATGTTCCGTGAAATCGTTCGTGGTGGGGAATGAAAGACGTTTCATGATGCACGAAAAACGGAGAACGCGATTACGTGGCGCCGATTAGCGTCACTCGGGATCGTTGTAAATCGCGGCGAATGCACGCGATCGAGCGATGTCGTTGACCTTTCACCTCGTAACGCGCTCTAGCAAAGCCTATCACTTTGTATTATTAATTTATCGCGTACTACTTCGAAGATATTAGATAGAGAATGTTGAATTCTGTCACGATACGAAGATATTAGCATTCTATATATATATTGTGCAACGAACCATAAATAACTTACAATCTTTTCTGAAAAATGGATTGCACAGCTATCTCTTTGAATTGGATCAATATCGACGTTGTGTATATTTAACGTGTAATTCTACGTTATTTTTACACATTGATTTAATACATTTTTAATACTTTCGATATAATCTTCCTCATATTCCTCATTTCCTACACTGAGGAAAACAAGTGTTGAATCCAGAAGTATTTGCAAATATTTATCAGTTCACAAAAATATTCGTCCGTTTAAAAAAAAATGTGTTTCGATAAATCACTGCAACAATGCAATTACGATAACTAACTTACCGGTGCAAAGCTGATACGCTCCGGTGAAGATTATTACGAAAAGCGCGAGCAGTTTCGCGTACGTGAAGATGTCCTGCACTCTCGTCGCCCACTTGACGTCCCAGCAATTGATGAAAGCGAGAATACCTGAAACAATCAACACGAATAGTCGAAGTAATTGTCGTGCAATCAGGATGGTATTCAATTGCGACGCGTATATATAATTGCTTCAAGAACAAGGCTGAAAATACATCTCCGGGAATTGTCTCGTCAATTTGCGAGCATCAAATACTTAGTTTTCCACACCTCGACTACAGCAGGTGTGATATATGAACCTATTACGACTCGCACGAGCGACATCAAGTCAATCTAATTAAAAATCGTGTGTGGTCGCGCGTGCCGCGCGTGTCCCACGTGTGTTGCTCGCTTTGAAATACTTATATGACCTTTCGCCATAACTTTATGATAACGACCGGCCGTTTTAGTCGTCCCCCTAGCTAGTTTTTTTTAGTCGAACCGGTTGCACGCGCGATTTCGTCCCTTCGTCTAATGTACGTCAGTGAAATGCACCGGTTTTCAATCTTTTGCAGAAAAATAGAATATACGTAGCTAAGGGAGAACATTTATGTGATCGAATCTAATTCACGAGGCTAAGGGCGAGTGATCGATTTGTGGTAGAACCGACCGTTTCTTCTATTGACGAGTCCACGAAAACGAAAACTCTTATATAAATTCGTAATTTTATTAACGAATCAAAAGTAATTTTATTGACGAAAACAAAAACTCTTACATAAATTCGATACGAAGCAAAGGCAATGCAAGTACGATAATTTTTACAATTTTATCGTCGTAATTTCATTCGTTGATTTTACAACAAAAAATAAATCCCTGCTTTTTAACGTTGGTCCTAAATTATAATTTTCTAAGTTTACAGTATAAATTTTATTTTTTATATTTTTAATTTTGTAATTATTGATAAAGTTTTCCTAAATTTTCACGTTAAAAGGATAATTTAAGGTAAGGCGAGAAATGTGTTCAAATGACACATTTCGGTTACTTTGCTTTTCCTGTACTTATTGTACGTCTACCTGTTCGCCTCAGTCTCCCAACTTTGTTGCCACATTTCTGAAAGAATTACGTACAGTTGAAGAGACAACGAACGCTCGATTTGGACGAGGAATAGTACCGATATCAATACGGCAATAAACCATTTTCGTTCCTTTGTCTCAGAGTTTGACGAGAAGATTTCGCTCTCGTCGTCGCGACGTCGCGTCCTTGACGGATTCGTAGAACAAAAGGAAGAAGAAATGTCGGGAGACTGATGCAACATCTCGCAGAAATATCGCGAGACTCCGTCTCCCCTTCGCCCTTTCCTCTTCGCGCGCCTCCCACGGGTTTCCTCCTCTTCCTTCTCCCTTTGTCCACTCGTTTTGTCTTTCCTCCCTTCGCCTTCCTTTTCGCCCCATTATCTCCCCCCCTCCCCACCGACGAATTATGCTGTTGTGGTGGCCAGTTGTCACGTTATTAAATTACATTTGTTCACAATGAAGCGTGATTGCCATCAGGCTTTTGACTCGCGAGCGGTCTCGCATCGACGTTTCTATTCGGTCTGCGTCGATCGTTCTTCTTTCCACCGACCGTCCATGTGTCACCGCGATTACGTATCGGTTAACGCACATTATATTTAAAATGCATTTCAAACGTTGAGGCTTTAGCCTCAAATCAAATCTCTTAAATTTGGACTTGAGGAAAAATTGAAACTTCATTATCTTGCCACGGGGGGATTACGGCAAAGTTACGGAAAGCTTTGTTGCAATTAACCCGTAATCCATCAGTGAGTGACAGTTCCCATACAGCACAGCAAGGTTTCAGCAACATTGCAGCAATAATTTATCGCAAGATTGCAACATTGCCTAAACGCTGCGAAATGTTGCTGCAACGCTGCTGCAATCTTGCAGCAACGGTAAAATGTCCGCCTCCAGAAATATTACAATGTAATATTGCAGCAAGCGTGCAACATAGCAATATAATGCATGCATAATATATGCTTTCTCGAAGTGCGGTGTGCTTCACTTCTCTTTTAAATTCATAGTAAATGAAGATTTGCAATTTAGAAATATACATTTGTATACACCAACTATTGAGGCAAAATCTCTAATCTTAGTAGTTAGAATTTAAGTAACAATGATTTTTGTTCCGATACATTTTCTCGATTGAACAGAATTAATCGTTTATTTAATCGGTACCAATAAGTCCGCAGAATGATACGCAAAACGTAGCAACAGTCACGGAACAAAGTAATGTACAATAAAATATTAAGTACAGAATTTTCCATTGCGTAGGCAGGCCAACGAATTCTCAACGGTTTTTTGTTGTTTTTCACTCGGCGCGGTATCGTACGACGATTAAGCGGGCCAACGAATTCTCAACGTTTTTTTGTTGTTTTTCACTCGGCGCGGTATCGTACGACGTTACGCGGGCCAAAGTTTACCTGAAGGTCGCCGCGCACTCACTCGCTCGCCGAACGTCGAGCCGGCAGGCAGCAGCGAGAGTCGCTCCGTGCGTCGTATTACTTTTGCGTTATCGGTTTCCAAGACTCGATCACGAGGAATGCAGGGATAAATCACTATTGATTTGCACACCTTTATCAGTAACAAGTAACGTTCCTCGATTAATTATTAAGTTTCTACAATTTGTAAAGAGAAACGAATTGTATGCTGAGGCGACGGTTCTTTATCAACGTATAGATATTTCACGAGACTAACTCATCTAAATTATAAATGTAAACCGTGGTATTTTGTCGCGGTCACATCTCGTTTACGCACCGCGCTTTTAATTATCTATCGATTTCGTTTCAAGGATTAGATTAAATGACAAAGATAAAATATCCTTTCGTTACGGACTAATAACTACTTCTTTACCGCAGATTATGCTTCCGATGCTTGTGTTGCCTTTTATATCGCCAATTCAAAAGTGATTTATCCATTCTTCCGAATTAAAAACGCAAGGTGTTAGTTTGAGTAATTTGTGTGACAGAAAGTCACGTGATATTTGTTAATAATATTTCGTGCGTTTCGCGGTATTTCACATCGCGTACGGGAGTGCCGGAAATTTCGCGCGATGATTTTTGCGAGTGAGTGTTGTGCGAGTGCAACGAGGAAATCTGAGAGGAGGAGCAGGCCTGGAAGGCATCGGGCAACGGCGGAGAAATCGTAAGGTAAGTGTCTTACATATTTTTATCTATTTGCTACTTGTGCAAAATAAAGCATCTGTTCTGTGCTTTTATTTTATTTGTTCAAATGATTCGAACGAGGATTCGAATAAGTGTTAGAGACAAAACCATACGTAGAAAATCTTGTGAGTTTATATTTAAAAGGAAGACTTTTTCAGCATTCTATATAATTATTTAAATACATGCCTATTTTTTTAAATATAAAATATAAAGTATATTTGATACAATAATTTCAATTTTACATGATTAGTCTATAATCATATGCATATTTGTATTGTTACAGTTTAACACATATACCGAGTTGACGATTTACAACCGTGCTGTTGCGAGTCGTATCAGTGAGTGAATAATTACTTTTTATTTTAAATTAACGTTGCGCATACAATCACTTCTCTTTGCATGTATACAAATTCTTAAAAATATACAATGCTGAACTACAAACTTCGCGCGCGAAACGCGCGTTTTGTCATTTCTAGTAAACTATAAAAGTGATATGAGGAAACAATATTACAAGCATAATTGTATCAATATTTTAAAATAATATTGCTACAACATTACTAAAGTAATATTGTAAAATAATGTCTCTGCAATATCTATGTACCATTACACTGCAAGATGCAATGTTGCAATCTTGCGGCAATGTTGTTGCAAGCTTTTGTGTTGTATGAATTATAATAAGGAATTAATGATTAATGGGCTCGACCGTGAGAATCGGTGCACTTGACACGAATGAAGGCGAGAAAACGCGGACACACGCTCGCTCTGGTCATTGATCTCTATCACTTACTGGTGTAACGGATTGCCATTTATTCGAACGAAAACAGAAATTAAACCACATGCATATGTATGCGTGGGTATATTTGCACACATACATAAAATGCATGAAAATACCAGGATCATCTTCTTCTTATAATGTGCACTCTCTTTTATATTTGCCCTCCAATAATCAGCTTACTTAATGAATTGTTTATTAACGATGCAAGTCATTAATAATATCGTTTTTCTATTAAGTGATGAAATAACGTCAACAGTATATTTTTCATAATTTCATTCGAAATATTTTTGAAAATTGAGATCTCGCGAACAAAATATTAGGGAACGATAAAGAGAGAAAGGGGTTGTAATTTATGTTTTACATCACGAAGACGGAATTCTATTACCAAGTTAGAACGTTCTTCGGAACGCTCAGTAGATCTGTCATAAATATTGAAAATCCATCGTGCGTTAATCTATTCGCAAATGACATCCTCGTCATCGGATGAGCGTGTTCGCGCTTCATTTTCCTTCACAGGAAGATCTATTCCCGGTTTGCCGAGCGATTTATCGGGAGGGATAAATGGAGCTCCATACGGCGGAATCTTATTTTCTTCAAATGTACGGACGAGCTTTGTCGATAACCAGTTCGCCACTTGCTATCTCATTTTCCCCGATCAATTTTACGCGAAATTTAGAAGATACATAATTTGTCTTTCAAGAGAAACGAGAAACGTCTGCTCGTTCGTTCAACGGTCAACCGGCTTCCAGTCGTTTGAAGCTATTCTTCAAAGATTGATTACGAACGTAATGAATTTCTTACGCTGTTGTATTTTGGAAAAGATATTGTACTTGTCACGACTTCGATATCATATTAATTGCATCGAAGTTTTTTATTTACAACCTCTCAGATTAATTATTACATGGCAAACTGATTTTCACAATGGACAGATCTCGTTTACGTCCCACTTTGCATTATGTTGCGGTGACACGTTATGTGGTTGATAAATTATCTAATATTTGATTTACATAAATTTTCATGTTTTCGAACTCGTTTTTCATATATGCACGTACATCTGACGATAGATATTTTTTACATTGCTCATCGAATATTTTTCTTTACGAGAGACACAATGTAGCTGTATCTCGCGTAAATATTTAT